AAAAAAAAAAAAGAGGATATTTCCATGCATTATCTAAGTTGATCTTTTCCACAGCTCTGTAAGGTAAATAGGACAAGTGCTGCTCTAGCCATCATAGAGACAAGACAGCTGAATCTCAGACGACTTAGGTAATTACCCAAGGAATTTAGTTAGTGAGAGATGGAGACAAAATTCAGTTCCGTATATTATGACTCTTAGTTATTTCCTTTGATACTTCGAAGCCTCCCAAGGGCAGATGAAGAAGAGAGAGAAAACACATAGATACTGGCAATAAACTAAAGCTTCTATTTCCTATTTCAAAAATTAAAAGAAAAACCTTATCACTACATTTTAAAACCATTAAACTAGACTAAAATAGCTAAGGATGAGCTAGTCAGCATGGCTATTTCATAGAGAGTGTGACTTTGGATCTGGCAGAACCTGTGTCTCAACTTTGTGGGATTCCTCCTTTAAAGTCTCATGGACTATTAACAGAGATGCATGAAAGGTTCAGTCCCACCTTCCAAGGCTCAAAATTCTCTTTCTGTACAATCATCTGAGAAAACCAAGGGAGGCTAAAAGAGGTCTTGGGGAGGCCACAATTCATTTCTGAATTTTTCCCTAATTGCAATTTTGCCTAAGATCTCCCCTCCCCACAGCTAGAGTTTCCTAAAATAAAATTTCCCTTTTCCCCCAACTTGCTGCCTACATGTATGTTAGAAAAACATTTTATTTCAATGCTCAGAAAACCAAGAAGAGATATTAAGTAAGCAAAGCTTGATTTAGACCACTTCAAAAGTGGTCAAGTTGAATTATTCCTCTCCGTATCCACCACTCCTCCATTTCACAGCAGTAATCTAACCACATTCAAGAGCTCTAAGAAGCAAACTTCTCATCATATGGTCCCCACTCCTTGAGCAACGTCAGTCCTAAGAAAACATTCCAGTATCACACAAATCCTTACGGGCATTCCACAGCCAACCTCAGAACACTAGAATTCCACAAGTCCCTGATCATTCATTTCTTGCTACCTTCAGTTTCATAGGACTCAAATCAGAAAGGCTAGGAAAACTGTAACTCTATAATAACCTGCTTCCACCCTTGCATCAAAAGACTATGTGATTTATTCACACACACAAATGACAGATATAAAGAAAAGCATTTAAAGTTAAGAGAGAAGAAAGAAAACAAAAAGTCAATCTGATGAGTTAGGCAAACTCAATTATCCCTTTTCTATGACAGCAAGAAATTTAAGAAACTATATTGAAGGCAACCAACTCTATACTAACCTGAGGGAAGAGAGAATAAGTTGAATTGTCAATGGTGAAAGAGTATAAAAACTCCCCATCATACCACATGCTCTTCCCCATAGGGGAATTCATTTTAGTCATAGCAAAGAGATGGGCAGGGTCGCAGCAGTCTTCCATTTGTTTCCTAGGAGAGAAAACAGAGAGAGAGAAAAGAACAGCCGGTTAAATGAGGAGCAGATTCATTCACTTGTCATTTCCACAGAGATGTGCCGCCTTACCTCAGTGCCAGCTCACAGAAGCATAGCATCTCCAGGGTGATTAGACTACTATTAATTCACTCTTCTAGCCACCAAAGTGCGTGACTAGAATATTTCACAGTAAAAGAAAAAAAAACGTTTAAGAAAAATACATCAGCTCTCAGATTCAGGTGAGATATGTCAAAAGACAAAAATAATCATTACAGTTGCAGATGTACTGATCAATTCAAACATCCAGGTCCAGAAAAGACTTGGATAGCTAACTTTGGAGACTGTTGAGCTATTCAGCTACAGCAGAGCTATTCAGCTACCAGCATCACTGGGATAAACTCACCCTTCTGGGCTGGCTTGCAGGCTACTCCCCAGGTAACCCCTCAAGTCTAAGCCATGTTTGTTCTATGGGGAAATCTTTATATGACCCTCCACTTAATAATCTACCAGAAATAAATTCCACTTAGTCATGAGTAAAAGAGCTTATTCACCACTTCCACCTCTAGGAAGATGAATAAAATTGCTGGCATAAACCATTTCTGAATGACCTCACGCAGAAATGCTCGCTCGACCTCCTTAGCTGAAAGGGGACGGTGGAGTGGGGGACCTGACTTCAAGTCCTGCCTCTGCAGCTTACTAACTCCATGACTGGGCAAAGAGACAGGGCTGCAGAATTGCCCTATGAGACTTTCGTTGAGAGTCCATTGAGAAGGTACTGGTAGAGCACACAGTGAAAGTTCGATACGTGGTAGGTGTTCTCCTTCTTATTGTTACACTGTCCCAGCCTCATTGTTGCCAGGAATCAGCCTAGTCAGTAAGGTGGCCCCTGCAGCGGGCCCTGCGGTGTGGGCAGGCTTCCTCAGCCTGCCGGGGAGGTGCTCTTCCCGCCACACTTTGCCTCCTCTTGCACTCTCGAGATCTTCGTTGGCTTTGCCTTCACGAAGGTTTCAATGGAAAGAAGGACAGGAGAGAAGGGCTCAAGGCAGACAAGGGGAGAAGAGCTCAGGAAGAAAGCTTTCATCTTATCAAAGTTGCTAGACCGAGTGTCTCTTCTTGCTCCTACACTAGCCCTCCGTTTCTCATCAGCTGCCTCTCTCTTTCCTCTTCTTCTCCACCTTCATTCATTTTTATTGGTGTTTTGCCACTCAGAAGGTGGCTTCCAGAGATGGTAAAGGTTTTTTGTTGTTGTTCTTTGTTGTTGTTGTTGTCCTCGTTTTTTGAAACAGGGTCTCACTCTGTTGTGCAGGCTGGAGTGCCGTCACTGCAACCTCAAACTCCTGGGCTCAAGCGATCCTCCTGCCTCAGTCTCCCAAATGACTGGCACAACAGGCACGTGCCACCACGCCTGGCAAAGGTAAAGTTTTATACTGTACTGCAAACATTTTGTCAAAAGTGCATCCTAGGCTCTTCTTGAATCAACAGAAAACACCTGGACATGGTTTAAGACTATCTTTAAAAATAAGGAGAATCATCATGAGCATGATGCTAAACTTTGGGGGAGGATAGGCTAAATGTTTAGTTCCTATCCCATGTCTGCTGATATCTTATATTTTTTAGTCCTCAGAGCAACCCTAAGAGATAATTAAGCAAATGGTTTTTTATTATTATTATCATCATTATTCCTCCCAATTCTCATCTGAGGAAACAGGCTTAGAGTGGTTCTAGGACTTGCTCAGGTCACACAGGGCAGAGTAGGAAGCCAGGTCTGCAGCGTCCAAGCTTTCTCCTCTTTGCAGGTTACCTACTAGGAACCATTTTGATTCATTTGTATCTTTCTCTGCCCTAAACGAAATGCTGTGTAAACACTGGCCAACTGCCTGCAGTACACCAGGTGCCTGCACAGATATTTTTTCTACTTCATTCTCACAGTAACCCATGAGCTGGATGACTTTAAGATTCTTTTCTCAAGTAATTTATCTCAGGTCACATAACTAGTGAAACGGTGGGGCAGAGCTTTGCTCCCAGGTCTTTGTACCTCATATCAGGTACTTATTTCCAACAAGACCATGGCTCTGGCCTCCAACCAGCTGAACGTGCCATTCAGTACAAAGTGCTACAGGAGGTTCAGAAGGAAAATTTGTCACAGCCATGTAACACCTTACGTTGCCTAGTACCTGGCAGCTTGCAAATCACTTTCATATTTGTTTCCTCTTTGCATCCTCAAAATAGCCTGAGAAGACAGGTTACATTATTCTGAATTTATGGACAGTGAAACTGACACTGAGACTCAGAGACTTGTTTAAGTTCATTAGGTTAGCAAATGTTTTCTTAATTATTGATAAAATATGTATTAGATGATGTTGAATCAAATTCTCATCTCCTTCTACAGCATCACCATGCTAGGGCAATCGTACCTTTTGTAGGAAACCAAATACACTATAGAAAATACAAAATTTCACAAATGATAGAAATATTGTAAAATCCAAGAGGTATAGCAAATTCACAGTGATCAGACCACTCTTTGCAATATGAGTGGTTTTTCTATCATAAACTCTTAAACTTCTCCCTTCATCCAGAATGCCTCCACATCTTCCCTCTGCCATGACCATCTCTGGGGGGTGACTGAAAAGAAACCACAATGTGGAAATGTGTATGCATATCCCATGTGCCTGAGTGGGGTCCTCATTAGCTCACCAGCTACACTGGATATGGTAGCAGCAGCAAAATCAGGAATAGTACTAGCACTCTAGTACTACCAGCAGCAGTACTGATAGTAGTAGTCATTTTAGAAGTCATAGTAGTGATTTTTACTGAGTTCTTACCTAAAACTGTGCTAGGTTCTTGGGATATAAAATTGAATTTAAAATCAGATCTTCCTTCTGAAAACATAATCAAGAAAAGGGGCAACCAACAAGCAAGTGACTTCCTGTGTATGCAGGGAGATGTGACCAAAGTCACGGCAGAGGTGTGCACAGATGTCTGTGGTTGTTTGGAAAAAAGAGGACATTAACTCACATCCAGGGTTCCAGGAAGGGTTTCCTGATCTGAGATTTGCAGCCTGTTGTTTGTGATGTCTAGGAAATTGTCGGATTAAATAATGGACTTCACCGCCATCCAACCTTCAGGTAATTCTGGAGCAGAGCTATAGACCAGCTTTTAGAATTTTTAGCGAATGTGGCTCCTACCCCCTTTTCCATGCTTTGCACTGATGCTGTGTATTATTTGCTTTTCTTTTGTGGCAGACAATAAAATCAGAGGATCAAAAAAGCTAAAGCAATTCCCTTTTCATATTCAAGTTCAAATTGCCAGATCATTAAGTTTCAGTTGCAGGTGAGTTGAGTACTGGAATTAACATCTAATTGCTTTTTATTTGAATTCAAGCTTCAGCAACAGTCGTAACTAATGATGCTATAACTGCAGCATAAGGGTAAATACTTATGAAGCCTGGGAACCACTTGCTAGAACCTAACTCAGGTTCTCATCCCTCCTAATGGAATTCATAAGATCAGTTAAGCTAAGAAGCCCTCATCTGTTGACTGCGCCTACTGACTAGGAAGTCAGATTCTGAGGAAACTTAACAGGCAAATAACGGTGAAAATCCAACCACTCAATTAACAATGCCTAGGATCAGAATGAACTTTGTTATGACCCTTTGAGATGCCATGTTCCACGCTTTGGTCACCAGACAGGAACAAGGTTGGGAGGCTGCCACTCCAATGACTGATACTTTTGTGCCCCTTCCAAGGGATAATTGAATTTGAGACAGGAGGGGTGGGCAAGAATTCTACCTCAGTCTCAGCATCTGGCCAGAACCTACTGTTACACTGTAGCTATTTAGACTTAGCTTTTGGAAGGTTAAATAGTCAGATAGACAAACATCCAAATCAATGCCAGTGCTGGCATCCCTGAACATGCATGTGACAAATGATCAAGTGATCATGTATGTCCCCTTGATATCTAATCAGGGCATCAATGTGAGCAGCACAAACAGGGAGTGTCATCAGAGTTTACTGTTTGTAAGCGAATATGCAATCTACAATTCTTATACGCAATATAGGGGTAAACAGTGACAATCTCTTTATGTGCTTTCTATGTTGAAATTCTATCAGTCAAGTGAAGTGTAAGTGAATATTTAATATTGCAAGAAGAAAATGCTGCAATAATAAATGTATTATGAAAGCTGTTAGTTTTATATACAAAAAAATTCTGAGGAATTATTTACTACCTAGGAGAGTAAATTGTCAGTTAAAGGAAATATTAATTCAGAGCATGTCTGGAATATAACCTTAGGAAAAATACCACATCATTATTCTGCCAACTAATATTTATAAAATTTTAAATAATATAAAGCAGAATAACAGAGTTGACATTAAATAAGTCAGGTCTTCATAGAGTTATTTTACATACTGACACTCAAAACATTAGACAAAATAACCTTGAAGAACTATATTTAATTTTACATTATTTAATTCCATTAAGACAATGAGATTTTCAAGGAAAAAAAAGTCCTAAATTGGAACTCTTTACATCTTGTTATGAAGAACTGAACGTTAAATATTAAATCTGCCCTCAAAATGTTCCATGAGGAATAAATACTCCAAAAACAATATCATGAGAAATCATCTTTGATCCAATCACAATACAGAATTCCTCATATCCCTCTTCCCTGCTTTATTCTTCTCTCTAGCACTTAAAACTATTTATATGCTATATATTTAATTTATAGTCTTGTTTATTTTCCATATCCCTAAGGCCCAGAATATAGAATCCATGAAGGCAGAGACTTCTGTCTTCTGTTCACTGTTGTATCCCCGTTTCCTGAAATGCTGGCTGAGACATTAAAAAAGTGCTTAATATTTATTGACAACCTAGATGCTCATCAACAGTGGATTGGATCAATAAAATGTGACATATATATGGATGAAATATTATGCAGCCATACAAAGAAGGAAATCATGTCCTTTGCAACATGGATGCAGCTGGAGGCCATTATCCC